GGCCCCAGGGGGGCAGGGACCATGAAATTCACAATTTTTGTCCCCCTTCACCCATAGATGCTATATGCCAAAATTGGTTGAAATTGGTTGAGCGGTTGCAGAGAAGAAGCTGAAAATGTTTAAATGTTAATGCACGACGACAGACAAAACCGGATAGCAATAGGTCACCTGAGTGACTCAGGTGACCTAAAAATAGGATATTTTTGATGTTTTAACAAGTGCATGTTTCATCTGTTCATGAAAAATTTATGCAAAACTTTTTCCCCTTAACTGGGCATCACGAAAATAACGTATTGATCTAACTGCACCTATATCAGCTGTATATTAGATTTTACTTTTGGCGTAAATCTAAATAAGAAAAAAGATATGATAAGATATGACAAGACCATAAACCGAGAACAGACAAGTCAAAATTTAGATCTAGAATATGCTGACTTTCATTTATTAAATAAGTTTAAATTGTCTTATTATATTCAATTTTAAATGTATGATAAAAATTTGTTTTATATTTATTATTAAAGTTATTCCTGTTTGAAAGGTTCAGTTCATCATTTGTTTGTATGTGAATTTTTACAAACATGCAACATTTTCATCATGTTTGCTAAATAAAAATCAAGATATTCAAAATGTTTAAATTTCTTATTTCGCTTCATTTTGTTCTCAATTTATGGTCAGTTCAGTGCCGTACAAGTGTATCTTAATTAAAAAAAAATATTAATGTGTGAGAATTTAATCAATTTATGTTTGCAGAAAACATTTTCCTAAATCTTCATAGTCAGACAGGTTGACAGCAATAATTATTGTAGTCAGTTCACACATATTCCTTAGATCTTATAAAACATGCATAAGAATCCACAGTTGTTACAGTATTTATAACCAAAATTTAAGTAAATCTTGTTTTTGATCTTGACATTTGATCTTGAATGTTATTCAGTGTCTAAATGAGGAATAAAAATAATTGACCAAGTTCACAATATTTATTCAGGGTAATCCCTTTTCTCAGTGAATATAAATATAATTATATATATTGGACCAAATACATATTATCTACAATTTATATCTACAATGTATAACAATTGAATGTTCCATTATCATGAGACAAATTCATTAAAAGAGTCCATTAAAATTATACATGTATTTCAATGCCAAGCTCAAAGATACATGTACATGTGGTTTGTTTAAATTGAAGTTTATCAATGTCTTATTACAGTTGTATGTTTTACATGCATATTATTTGGCCTGCTTGTCCGTCGCTCAAATTGAATTTCAAATGTCAAAGTAGTTGTCAGAGAGATGGTCATAAAGTAACCGAACAGTTTCACAAATGTCATCAATGCACAGAAAACAAATACATCAAACACTGATCTCCTTAATAAAGAACACCATCATTCCAGACTCTAGAGGGCTCTTGGACACTGGTTTGAAAATCTTTCATTATTTATTCCAGCAGCAGATGAGATGAAGAAAATTTGTACAGCTGCAAATTTGCAGGATTGTCCTGAAGAAAAAAACACACACCATTATGTGCATGTAGATTGTAAATTGTGTCATATGCATTATGCATTAAAACTGTATTTGATTGTGATTATCTTTCTCATTTCATGTACAATTGTCTGAATTTAACCTTTTTCTCTCCCAGAGTAATGCATTAATTTTAAACAAATCAAGCAAAATCAAATCTTATATTGCAACTTCATAGTCAGAACTCATATCTTAATTAAACAATCATAATTTTCATAATTTACTTGTAGATTATAATTCATTTCATCTCGCCGTCTTGCTAACTAGTATGAGTACATGTTTGGATGTTTTTTTCTCTCAATTTTCTGCTTGGATTAAGCTATTTAATATGTTGTTTGTTAATTTCTTTTTATTTGTTGCTTGAAATTTGAATATTAAAAAAAATGAAAATAAATATAACATGACAATGATGACCAGAACAATTATACATGAATTTCAGTTTTACTCTCAACATTTTAAAAAGAAGAAAATCACTCATTCATAAAATCTGCAGACACTTCATCTCAATTTGGATAATGATTTTTTATGTATTTTAATGAAACATGCATAAACACAAAATAAATAATCTAATCACACCTACTTCTAAATGTAAAATCCTTTATATTGTGATGACTAATGAGGGCAGGCAAAATTGGGTACCATTCTCTGAAATGAAGAAGATAATAAATGATTAATTTATGTTACATGTTTTATGTTTAACTCACAATAGGTCATTATCATTGTATCATACATACAATGTACATGCAAGTGCTGAGTGGGCTTATTATACACAGTAGCATAAGAAATGATCATGATGATTCTGCATTTAATTATTTTAAATTGCAATCAGATAAGAAAAAAATGTTTTTTAACCACAGTAGGGAAATGAGTATATAGCAATAACAAACTGAAAAAGGTATAATACATCTGATCATGTGACAAAGTATTTGTAAATATTTAACCCCCCTACCCCTCCTCTTTCTACACAACCTCTTTTTTCCACATCCGATTTCTGTGTATATTACAATAGAACAAAATTTTAATAGTTCAAGTCATTAAAACATTGCTTAAAGGGAGAGATACATATAAACATGCACAAATTTACAGTGTGTAGTATACTTACAAGGTCTTGCACCAAACAACTGTGATTATGATCTGTTATAGTCCGCCGCTGACGGTTCAAGTGGAATTATCCAGATAAACAGAGCACATTTAACAGAGAAACATGTTATTGAACTGTAACACAAGTAGGAATCGAGTTAATCATCCAAACATGCTGAAGAAATACGATCTTTTGATGTCCGATCTCTTCTTTGTTTACATGCGAAACTTCTTCCGGTGATCGTTCACGGTTAGATCGTACGCCATATTACTCGAAGGTAATAGTAGAAATGTGTGTTAAGAAAGAAAACACGTCTATTTTCTTTTGTGATTTTATAAATGATTCTTTTGTACACGTTCTATATCCTTTTGCATTTCTGTAATTTATTCTGACATATGAATTAACCTTTACTCGAATCTGATTGGCTGTAGGATACAGGATAGTATAGGATAGGATTGGATTAACTTCTATATGTTTCTATCGTGAATCCTCAATCCTGAAACCTATCTATCCAATCCCATCCCATGTCAACTTGTGGGATAGCAGCACTGTACCAATATCTGTGAAAATAAGTAATTTTCTACTACTTCCTGTTTGGCCGGAAGTGACGTCATTCGACGCATTTTGATGATCTCACAAGCTGCTACTTGTCATGTTGAACAACTTTGCTTCTTTGAAGTATTACAAATTCTCAATACTTTTTGAGATATCAGGAAAAATATTTTGGCCCCTTTAGATTCCTTATTTTAGGGGCCACCCTTTTTTCGAGAAATCATTTAAAAGATCTTGTAATTCTGCACAAATTTTGTTATATATGTTTTAACAAAATATTTCCAAGTAAAAAGATATCGTACAGAAAGTGTTCGAAAATTTGAAACTCTCGATACGACTTTTTTCAGGCCATAGCGAGCGTCGACGCGTGGCACTTACGGTGAAAGTTAACTACGTATTACAGATCTACATATGTTGCTCTGTCTTCGCTAAAAGTTTCACGTTCCTGTGATGAGTGGTTTCTTAGAAAACCTGCGGACAAACTGACCCTCCAAAAATCACTAAATCGCAAAAATCTTCGGACCGGAAGTGACGTCATCAAAATAAAAAAATATGTATCAAGATTTTTTTATGTTCTATCAGACCTGGAAGTTTCATGAAAATCGAGCGAATCGTTTTCGAGAAATCGCGTGCACAAAATCGGTAAGAAAAAAAATAATAAGAAAAACAGTGGAAAAGAAACCGAAGAATAACAAGAAGGTCTTCCGCTGAAGACGGAAGACCTTAATAAAAATAGTGGAAAAGAAACTTAAGAATAACAAGAAGGTCTTCCGCTGAAGACAGAAGACCTTAATAAAGATTCATTCCTCTAGCAAATAGAGAAACAAACATAAGTAAGCACAACAATCTCAAAACTGTTCCACAAAATTGGAGCAACCAGAAGTTGGGTGGACTGGTTATAGACACCAAGGCACTGGATGACTACTAGGCAATATGATATTCAAACACAGTATACTATATAACTGGGACACTGCTTCTGTTGCAACCTCACAGACCACCGTGGGTAATCAACAACTTCATATCTGGTCAAAAACGATGCCCAGTGCATGTCGGGAAATTCTTTTTGGGCAAGGTCACTTAATAAAGGGTATTGTCATGACACCAAGACATTTGTCAATCCCACTACATTTGAGAAAGGTGTCATATTATAATTTTACATCAGTACATGTATGCTTGTAGTACAGATCAGGTAAATTTTGAATTCACAAATGTGAGTAACGAGTGGCGGGTTAACAATTTTTTCTAGTGTAGTGCAGACTCATGATATGGCTTTGTAAATGCCCGTCTGTGCTCTCTATACATTCTTTTGAGAACTATATCAGCTACAATATGTAATAATATGTAAAGTACTGCAATTGGGCAATTTACTACATGTATAGTGGGCTTTGTAACTTTCTTCTATCACATGAGCATTAAAATATCCCTTTTTAATGGGGGAGGGGGGTACTGCCGTACTGCGTCTTTGCAGTTCCTGAATTCTATATATATATATATATATATATTCCATCTCGGCACCTATAAATAAGCTAATCCTCTTCTAGTTACTCCAAAGTTCCGTGTTTTCGCCCTGTTCTGACTCGTCTCTTGACGTTTCCTATGTTCAGTCTTCACATACTTTCTGTTTTTTATATTGGTTGACGCAAGACGACATGTTAATAATTTTGTTATGTTAATGAACAACAAGCTAGATAACAAAACTGATAGGACACCTTTTAAAGTCATATTTCAAAGTTTTCTGACACCTGGGATGCTACACGGTGTACATAACGTCACGTGTGTATTCCAGCATTTCTAACCCTAACCCTCACAAAATTTACGGCATGTCATTAATATAAAAAAATCTTACCGGATACAAGTAAATTACGGCGATCAGTAAGGCTATAAGAAAAGTTGCTGCAAAAATCACAAAGTCTAGCATCTTGTTGATCGACTTGTAACGTGGATTGGAGCAGCTCACTGTTTTTACTGCGGCAGCGTATAAAACAAGTTCCCAGTGATGACGAATCGCAAACGAAGAAAAATCAAAGTACTGAAAGTACTCGGAAACACTTACACTTGACGGTCACTAGAGCTGTACCAAATTAATCCAAATCAGATGTGCATTTTGTGTCAAGGGTAGGGTATTTATTCAACTTTTGTTTAAAAGATCAATGTATTTTTAAAGCTATTATCTATGTGCATGGTGTATATGAGCTAAAAAAAAAATAATAATAAAAATACGAGATTGAGCATAGATCAAACGTGATATATTTTATTTACGTTCAAATTAAAATGTTTACCGATTTTAAACTTGAATAACCTCATGTTTCCATGGTTAAATTGATTTTAAACTGTGTCTGTTAAGGTAGAACTTATGTCGGAAAAGTCTTTGTCACAAGATTTTCAAACTTTTCAAAATGATAAATTAACACTCGCTTATCAATCAGTAAAAAATATATGGTATGTTTCCTTGTTATTAAATGTAGTACAGCCTGTGCAACTTGGAATGAGAATTTTACATTGCGACTACATATTTTCAGTCATTTTTAGGGGTACTGGTCATAATGAGAATCACAACAATACTTCTTCAAACATCGTCTTTTATAGACTTTATCAATTGAACCGTATTAAGCAATATTATTCAAGAATAAATTCTTTTTTATTCAATTGACATAAAAGATTAAGTCCACATTTCAACGAATATATAGGCAAATGTGCTCAATATTTTTTGAGTCAATTTACCACCTAAATTTGTATATATTTTTCAAAAGTCTTTGTCAGAATGTTTTCAATCTTTAATATGGTGAAGAAGATACCCAAATAATTACAAAAAGTGATTTAAATATATACCTTTCCCCACAAACGAATGAGAGACACTCTATTTATCAATACTTCTTTTGTTGACCTGTCTGCACTCTGCACTAACACAGGATTTATTTATTAAATGACTGTTTTGCGGTTGCGTTCAGATTTACAATGTAAATATTTATCAAAAAATGTATACTAATTTTTTTAATTTAAAAAAATATTTTAGGGAAACATTATTATTATACACCAACCATTATGAATAATTAACAAATAATTATGAAAGGGAATGTACGTCATTCCATGATAGACATTACAAAATTTACAGACAATATTTAACAGATCTTTGACCCGAAGACATTTTTATCAAGATATTGTACTATTTAAATTTCTTAGGTTTTTTTGATTTCCTTCAAAATAGTTGCATACCATTCACAGTTGTGTAACTTCATTACAAGAGGCAGTCTTGGAGAAAGTACGGGGAAAAGTAACATTAAATTAATTATGACGTCATAATGGATCTAGCATAAAAAAGACGGTCTAACTGGTTTACTTGATATGACGTCATACGACGTAGGTTCTACGTTAATTAAATGCGGAGTCGGTAAACAAATCGGTTTTTGTATTTTAAAACTTCTAATATCTTTGAAACGTGATTCATTTAAATTGTGTAATTTACAGGAAAGTCCTATCTTTGGATTTTCACACAAAGTCGACCTTTTAAAACTTTACTCCTATTCGTGGGTATTTTAAAAAAAGGATCATTAAACCTAAAACTCCGTGAATAGTAGAAAAAAATGTTGGGTTTACGGAAAACATGAACTTTCAGTTGTCAACCAATAATAGCCCAGATAAAAAGTGAAATGTCAAACGATGTGTTTATTATAAATTTTAGCAATCAGTTTGTACTTTCTTTAAGGTTTATAAATATTGGTCAAATACTGTAAGAAAAATAACGTGAACCTAAAATATAAATTAAGTACATTTTATCTTGAGGCACTCGAAAGACAGACAAACTATGCACAGGTCCGTAACTTTACATGGTGAAATAAGACTGCATTTTATATACAAATCAATATCTTTTTGTAAGTACTAGCTGTCCTTCTTACTTTTATGGGATCAAGCTTTGAAATTATTGAAGTATGTGTCTTTCTACACATGTGTCTATCAGTCTATTTGAGAAAGTATCGAAAATCACAAAATATCTGCGTCGCCTAATTTTTGCGAGAAATTAACATTATTAATATAATTGCATTTTAAAAAAGCAATTATACATTTTTTCCCCATAAATTCTGATTACTGTTTAATTAATTTTTAAATATACAAACAAACGAAAGAATGAAATTTTTGCGAATGCACCGTCTCGCTGCATGAATAACACAATTCAGATATAAAGTTCTGGCAAATAGAAACTGATTTACATTAATATTACTATATTTTCCCACTATGAATTTTCTCATAACTGGCCGTGCCACGTCAATGATACATTTAAAAAAAAATTACAGTTCAACAATTTTGGCAGTAACCTAAATCTTAAACGAATTTCAGCATCCTGTCTTAGACCCCCGAGATAGTACAGACAAAAGATGCAGACGTAATATGCAATCTCTGGCTGCCATGAATTATTGGAAAAAATATCAATGTTAAAAATTGATATTTTCCGACTAAATTATCTTTTTTATTTATTATATTAACAAGTAAAATCCGTTTCTAGGACTATTAGGCGGTAGAAATTGTATCAATTTGCTACTTTTAATCATACTCGTAACAGTTTGCATACCTAGTTTTAAAGTCAGTTAACAACTTCACAAGTTGTTAATTTGTCATCATTATATCTACATAATTTTTATGCATGATTAAAACATATATTCTCTATTCAGAGTGGAGAATCTAGAGTGGGCTTCACTTAAGGAATCACTGTCTAGTTAGTAGAGTATGTCAGGGCATCAACGATAGTTGGAAACGTGGGATGATTTGCATAACGGGCGAAGCCCGTTATGCATAAATTATCCCGTTTCCAACTATCGTTGATGTCCCTGGCATACTCTACTAACTAGACAGTGATTCCTTATATTTCAATTTCATTGTGAAATAAAATTTTAAATTTAGATTTTAAAATTGTAGACTAATAGATTTAAATTACACGAGGCCTCACATGTCAATTTCAATAGTCCCCGCCCACTGACGTCAAACACAAGGACAGCCGCACGAGAATTACATGCATATTAGGCCCCCTTAGAGTCAGACACAAAGATAGCCGCACGAGAATTACATGCATATTAAGCCTTCTTAGCTCCTGACCTTTCGCTTGGCGAAATTTGCATTCCGGTGGAATGATCAAGAAATCAACTCTCCTAACTTTCAAAGAGTTATCACAGAGAAAACAAATAGAAATGGAAATATATCAGTATAACTTATTAACATAAGAGATCATTAGAACCAATGAGTACCTAGTTTAAAATATTCAAGTGTGGTAATGTTTTATAGCAATTTTGGAAAACATATCCGAGGTAATTTTTCCGAGCTTGCCGGAAAAATCCAGGCTTGGATATCGGTTTCTCGAAAAAAAAAATTAAGTTTTTACTCAAGTTCAATCTCAAATCCTGAGAAAAAAAACTTTTATATTTGAGTAAAAACTCAGACCTAAGTCTGAGATATACTTTTTTTTTTTTATAGAAATCCAAGCACGGAAAGTAGTTAGTTAAGAAAAGCTAGGTATTTAGAATAATTTTAGAAATAACTGATCTTTGTAGTTTTGGCATTATAAGACCTAAGATATTATTACCTTTCGTACATTTATGCACAGGTTGGACAACAAAAAACACAAAACTTCAGATCATTTGTGTTTTCAGATGATTACACGAAATTGACCTGGCACAGTGTATCTACAGTAGTATTCCCAGAATGCCCGACCGTGAAGTCCAGCATGCGTACTCCAGTAAAAAAGACTAGCGTAGTTGCTAGCGCTCGGGAGTGCTAGCAATAAGTAGAAGTTAACAATAGAAAATCGAGTCATTATTACGTGTTATTTTGCTAACAATTAATGTCTTTCTTTAGTTGAACCATCTAAATATAAAAGAAATTTGTCATATATATGCTTTTAAATTTGGGAAATATCATCTCTGATTCGGAGTTAGGCCCAAGAGTTTGGCTATTTAAGTCATATTTTAGAAACGACATATCTTTGATATGCCCCATAAAAAGAAATCTATGCACAGGACTGAAATTGAGTACGAGGAAGATATAGCGAAACAAGATAAATCATTGTAAAGAGGAGACTATTAGTTATGTAGATACTTGAATATGATCTAGACAGTGTGGCATATGGAGGGGGCATATTGATTTGATGTGTGGTGGGTAGGTCACTTAGAGGGGGCACATTAACAATATGACGTCAGTGTGCCGCATTTGAGAAAATGCCGCAGCAACGACCCTTTACTTTAAAGGAAGAAGAAGTATAGGCAGAATAACAGCAAAGCGCCGCTCGTCACTGCGAGCTCTTAAAGCAACGCCTAGGCGAAGAGAAAATTTGGACTTTGCACATTGATCCAAACAATTTTTTTTTTCCGCAGTAACCTGTGGTCCTGCGAATTGCATCTCGCCGCAAACTACGTTCTCGTGGTAGCAACAAAAGTTCAACAAAAAATAAAATCATATTGATTTAATTGATATTGCAGAAGAAACAGTAGATTTAACATTCTTCATTAAAACTATAGCACTGTTCAGGTTTCAATTTAGTAAAGCAACTTACATAACGACGTCATGTGACGTCAGAACCTAAATCGACGAATGCGGTTTGAAGAGACGGATGTAAATTAAAACTAAATAGGTATCTGCGCTCGCCCTAACGGTCGCACCGTCAACATATTATGGTTTAATACAGTATTCTTTTCGACCAATGAAATTTCAAGATTTTTATCAGAGGCAGGATAAATTTACTTGGCTATCAGCTGCAACTGGTATAAATGATTAATTATCAAAATATTGCTACATTCAGTAGAAATTCTTTTTATTACCATCATCAGCTATGGAAAGTAGAGTTTTTATAATATAAAAAGCACAAAATTGTTGTTTTAATTAAATGCCACTGGTTGGCACGCCTTCTGCATGACGTTAACACTAAGTATATTCAAGGATACCTAACACAAAAAAGGTTTTTGTACACAGACCTAAAGCAAACCCTTTCCTTTCTGATGTTTGTACTTTGAAATGCGACTTTGTGA